TTCCCCAATACTATATCATAGTTTAAATTTCGTTTGAAAAACGTTATTAATTCACTACAATAAATTCCTGTCTACACACAGTTAGTGTGGTTTTCAAGTAATTAAGTGAAAAATGTGTACAATTTTTTTTTTTGGAAATTTCATGTAAATTATGGTCTACATTTATAGGCGTTCCAAAAACCTTTCTAAGGCAAGACATTTTTTACATACCGTCATTACAAAGACATTTTTGAGGTTTTTCTCTTAATGAACTGACATGTGGCTTTGGATGTGTGTGTGTGTATTACCATGCCAATAGCTAACTCAATGCTATAAATAATTTATGCAAATTGTAATTATACGAAAATTGTTGAAGTTTTGTATTAATTATACAATCTTTTGTTGTATTGTACCTCTCACTCTCACTTGCTCTCTTGGTTATCATTGCATATAACATTGGCCTCAAAAGACAACAACGGTCACTGACTTTTGCACTTGCCACAAAGTGCTACGTTTGTTTTTAATACACTCTCAACACCCAATTATTGTTCATGTGTATTCGTTGTTGTTGTTGTTTTTTTTTTTTAACAAACCACATATTTTGTTAGCCGGAATTACAGTGTTCGTTGTATTGAATTTGGTTTGTTGGTTGTATGTTTATTTGAAACTACATTTTTATATATAGAAATGCATGTGTTTGCAATTATAGTTGCCAATTTGTATTGTGTTTTATATTGTTTGGAATTCGCAAACACCCATACACACACATATGCATACATGCGGGGCAGATAGTCGAACATTTTATTTTTGCAAAATGTTGTTTAATTATTATAAATGTTTTTATTTGTCGGTTGGTAATTGGCGGTAAATATTTGCAGTAGAGAGTGGTATGTTACACATATATATTTAAAATATGTTACACATATGTATGCGAGAAAAATATCTAGTTTTATAATAAAAGAATATTTTTTTATTACTTGGTGCAAAATTTTTGGGTTCTAGACCTCTTAGAAAGTGTCTAAAGCTGTGCTCAGCAAAGGGCGCCCATGCACACAAAATGAGGGCACACATACACGCACTAATCTGTGTGCAATTTAATTTTTTATCAATCTAAGTTATTCAGGACTAATAAATACGATCTTAATCGAGAGAGAGAGAGAGTTTATCTCACAAAGTCGTTTAATAAAAAATTCCTTTAAATTTATGGTGCAGACTTCTAGGCATATCCCACAACAATACCCCTGTTGTGCTCCATTCCTCATTTAATTATTGGAATCATTGCAAATCCCAGAGTTGTTCTCATTTCCCATTCTCTCAAGGGGATTTTGTAATTGTATCCTTGCTTGTTTACAATTTTTTATTAAAAAAAAAACATCACTTCAATTTTATTTAAATAAAATTCCAATTAAACAACTGACCATGGTACTTAATACCTTTCCACAAAACAGGCTTAAACTTGACAGTAGAAAAAAAAAAACAGTAAAATGTCCTTTTTAGCACACTCTCGCTCACATCTATGTATGTGTGCAAATATTTAAACAGCGTTATTTACACAAACGCTTAACAAATCAACCAAAACAAAACACAAAGAGCAGCCGCCAAACAACAACACATTTTTATTTAAATGAAAGTAAAATACAACGAAGACAACAACAGCAACAAAAATCAAGGATTTGTTTGTAATACACTGTGTTCACCTCATTTTTGTGGTTGTACAATTAGATTATCACACACAGTTTGGTCATTTCCATTTCAATGAATTGTCTGTCGGTCGGTCAGATGGCTGCTTTGCTTGGCCTGTCTATATAACTGCCATCAAAAGTGTTTTTACGCTTTTTCCCAGTAATCAAGTTGCAGTGCCTTTTGTGTGAGCGCGTTAGTGTGGGTGTATGTGTGTGCGAGAGAGAATGAAATCGGAAATTAGTTTTGGACAACCCTGTAAATGGGATTTTTGTAAAAACAAAACCAGTGTAAAGTGTTGAAAGTACATAGCATAATTTTAAGCTGTTTTCAAAATGTTTACAATTCCAATAAACATTGGCTTTCAGCGAAAAGCTGTATACATACAGAGGAGGTCAAAAGAGAGTACACAGTTTGAGTAAATTTTGGAATTGTTTATAGAAATAATAATCACAAATATCATGTAAAAAAAACTTCAACATCCTGAGAATTTCAGTTAATCGAAGCGTAATCTGACACTATTTCTGTAACAGATGGCGCCCAATCAAAGCCGGGCTTGACTTCTTAAAATTACAGCGAAAGTAGAACTAGTAAAACAATAATCGAATTGCTCCAAACGTTATTTTACCAAAATCCCGAAGGCAAATTTCCATTTCTTAACTTGAATTAAAAAAAAATTCGGTCAATTGATTTTCTTAACATCTTTCGGGTCACACAGTATATTCCGCGCCAGTTGTTATATCTATAACTTTATGGTTCTAGTTGTTTGTGGGTGTTTTCTCTAATATTGTTTAGTATTGCGGCTCGGCATATAAATGTGTGTGTAAAACATCAACTCACTAATACCAGCATTAGTTTCCAACCAACACACCCAAAAAAAAAAAGTAAAAGGGCCCAAAGACATGGTCATGTTTTTAAAACTGGTATTAGTTGTAATTTAGTTAGTTGCAAAATTGTGGTTGTTATTTTTGTTGTTTTACTGTTTTTGTTTGTTTTGCATTACATTTAAATTATTGTTGTTTGTCTTGTTGTTGTTGCAATTTGCTTATACATAGACACACTTGTTTTATTGGTTGTTTGCTTTGTGGCTTTTGCTGCTGTGGCGTTATCCCAAAAACCCTCCAAATAATGTTGCGAAAAAAAATCTCGCACACACAAAAACCAATGCAGTTCCACCGAGTGAGAAAGTAAGTTTTTGTTTGAGATTTTATTTACAATTCCATGATTATATGTTCCGTTTATAATTTAGTTTTTAAACAAATTATTTTGCAACAAAAACTATTTTTGAGGATATTTTAGGAAACTTTTTTTTTTCGTTTCAACATAAATCAATATAAGCTTTGCAAAACCAATGACGTGTTGTAAAAATCCATTTAGTTGTTGTTGTTTTTGCAAATTAAACCACCAATGTTTGAGGAAAACATTACAAAAAGGGAAGTATGATTGTGAAATGTTAATTTGTAGGGGAAAACCTGAAAAGCTAGGAAATAAGCTGTTTGGCGTTATGCTTGGTGGACAATAATATACATATTTGTGTAAATAATTATCTGTAATACAATAATAAAACAGGGAGGCGCAAAGCAAGTGTTTTGAGCCATGTTAAGTGGTTGCATGAAATTTAACACCATAACGAGGGGTTTGACTTTTGTTGTGTGTAATAAATAATATTTGGGGAAATATTTTGATGGGAAATAATCAAAATAAAATTTGAAAATATTTTTTCTTTACAGTTTAACAAAAAAAAAAAAAAAACTTTTGAAAGGGTTCTGAAATAGCTGATAATAGTGACCTTAATTAAAAAAAATATGTATTTGTAATGCATACTTTTAGGCTCACACACCTGACTTTTGTACAAAATAAATACCCTGATTAAATTTGATTCACTTTGCTCTGTCGCTTCTTTACTCTTATCCTCAAGCTTCTAATTTGCCTAATTTAATACTCATTTTTTGCATTACTTAATAAACCCCCTCGAAGCTATTACTATTGGATTAAATGTCAATTTAAATTTTATACTTACTTATTATTACTAAACTGGCTATAAATTTATAAATGTGTTAGTGGCTTTAATGTGCTGTCATCTATGTATTTTAATTTTTAAATAATAATCGTAATGGATGTCCGAACGCACACACACACGTACATTTTAAATATATGTCCCCGCGCTTTTATCCAATTAATCACGAATAATGTGAAATTATATGTCAAAATTGTGTGTTAGTTTGCAATAATTAATTAAAAATACATTTGTGGTCGAAATTTTAAAACAGCAGCCGTACAAATGGACATATGTACATACTTACACACAACATACATTGTAGTTGTGCACATATTTGCATAATTTAATCCTTGAAAACTATCCAACACTTATTAGACTAATTGCGTGTATGTTGTGTAGATGTACCTACATATTTACTACATATCAATTTATCAATGTATGTATGCGCGTATGTGTCCAAATATGTCTATAAACATTTATGATGTCGAATTTTTCAAGTCCTTTTTGTCATTTCGCTGCATGACTTCGCAAATGATAGGCTTATTACAAATTATAATATTCATATTTGTTTGTACTTTGTCATATTCGCACATATTACTGTCACTGTCAAATAATCATTTGCAAAACGCAAATGTAAACAATCAATTATGTGTGAGAACAATGAAATATAGGGTAGATAATTTCAAAAAAAAAAAAAAAAAAAATCTACAAAAAAATTTAAAGTTGTGCATTAAAAACTTTAAATAAAGTAAAAAAAATAATTTGATTTTCTAAAGTCATTTCCATTCTTTTCTTTAAAAAATTATTTGCTACCACCCCAATGTTCATTTCTATGACATGGTATAGATGTGTGATTTTTTTGTATCCTGCTCTTAGGATTGTATATTTTATTAATTCATAAATATAATGCAATGTTTAACTATTTGTTATTGTCATTTGATATTGGTTTTGCCCCACCCATGTCATTGATTTATGCTCCCACCCATCTAATGGTTTGCTGTTGGTTTTTTTTTGCCGTTCTTGTTCTCGTCTGTCATTGACATTACACTGCCACTTTACTATGGTTGTCATTGTTGTTGCTGCTGCTGTTGTTTGGTCATGTTGTTATCTATGAACTGTTAATTAATTGTATGATGATGTTCTCACAGTTTATAATGTAATTTTTAATTAGTTTTGACACTTCTGTTGGTTTTATCATTGTCTATGTATTATATATGGGATTTTTTATTGTTTTTTCGTCCTGTGTCTTTTTTTTCAACTATAATAAATTAAGCATATTGATTTAATTGCAATCCTCTTTTACATAAATTATAATAGTGTTCTTTATTGTCTGTTTTTATAGCTGTTGCCCAGGAATCATTCAAATGTCCCGATGATTTTGGATTTTATCCCCATGACATCTCCTGCGATAAATACTGGAAGTGTGACAACAATGTGGCTGAATTGAAAACCTGCGGTAATGGTTTGGCTTTCGATGCCTCCGATCCAAAATATTTGACTGAAAACTGTGACTACTTGCACAATGTTGATTGCGGTGATCGTACACAATTGGGTAAGTAAAAAAAGAGGTTAATTAAAATATATAAATAAAAAAAATAATACGTTAATAAATAAATAAATGGACCAAAACGAATAAAACATTAAATTAACAAAAAAATAATTTTTAATAAAATATTTAATATGTAAATTAATAAATACATAAATAATTTAATTAACAAAAGCTAAAATAAATGAATAAAAAATAAAACGATCAATAAAAAATTTTAAAATAATTGAAAAAAGCAAAAACATTAATAAAAAATTAGCATTAACAAAAAATAAGTAGAAATCTGGAACGACAACAAATAATATTTCAAGCAGAATTTCCTAATACTATCCAAAAATTTACCATTTTGGAGGGCCTGCTCTCCTCCGGCTATGTCGGTGCCTTTGTCTATAAATCCATCAAAATTTGGTTCAAAAAGTCCTAAAGCCAATCTAAAGGATATTGCGACCTTACACAAACTGTGAAAGAGAGTCAATCGTAAACAAACCAAGCTCTGCCCAGTAAATGACTTCCATTTAAGGCCTCTCCTGAAAAAAAAAAAATACGATAACAAAAAATATTTCAAAATTGAAAATAATTTTGTATAACTTTGAATTTCAGAACCCCCAATTTCCACACCCCACTGTGCCCGCTTGTACGGTATCTTCCCCGATGAGAACAAATGCGATGTCTTCTGGAACTGCTGGAACGGTGAACCCTCTAGATATCAATGCTCTCCCGGTTTGGCTTACGATCGTGATGCTCGTGTCTGTATGTGGGCCGATCAAGTTCCAGAATGTAAAAACGAAGGTAAAATACAAACAAAATAATGAAAATTTGTAAGAACTACGTGAACTAAATTACTTAATTTTAAATTACAGAAGTTGCCAACGGTTTCACTTGCCCCGCTGCCGGTGAATTGGCCAATGCTGGTTCATTCTCCAGACATGCTCACCCCGAAGATTGCCGTAAATACTACATTTGCTTGGAAGGTGTTGCTCGTGAATATGGTTGCCCCATTGGTACTGTATTCAAGATTGGTGACAGTGATGGTAGCGGTAACTGCGAAGATCCTGAAGATGTTCCCGGCTGGTAAGTGGAAAACTCTTAAATTATTTATATATTATGATTTTTTGGGTAGTGGTAATTTTTAAGGCTTGCGTGAAGTACACCTTGAATGAATTATACACTGCTTTGTTGTGATTTACAATGAATCCGCATTATGGGGATTTTTTTAGACTGATGAAAATAAACTTGCGGCTGATTTGTCAATTGTAGTTGCTTCGGTTTTCTTTGGGAATGTTCTACACAATCCAATATCTGCATAAATTTAAAAATTTCCTTGGGAATGTTTTAAATTATTCAGAAAACAGGTGTGTCCAGAAAACCACAAGCACTTCAATTGTACCAGCCTGTGAAACACTTTACTGCATTTATGTATTTTTTTAAACTCTTTTGCTTGTGCTTTCTTCTTTGCATTGAATTTGCTTTTCGATCTCTCTGCATTATCTGCATCTTATACACTGTGTTATTCCATAAGAACATGTCACCTTAATACTTATTGGAAATATACAAAAATAAATTGAAAAAAAAACATCAAAAAATCATAAACCTTACCTACAGTCCTTAACCGCTCACATAAAAAATCCCTCTACATTACAGCGAGGACTACTACGGCGATTTGGATTTGAAGAGCATCCGCAAAAGTGAACTTTTAGCTGGTCTGCAAGGCGAAGGTCGTAAAAAGGGTACAAACAAGGGTGCTGCCGCCTCCTCATAAGCCCTTATCACCACAACATCACAACATAATTTCTCCACATTAACTCCCAGCACAACCCCAAACTAACACCAATCAACCAACCAACCAATCGATCAATCAACATACACGACACACACCACCATACCAGTGAACACAACTACAACAAAAGACAGAAAAAAGAACAGCAACAAACAACAACAAAACAAAATACATTACAACATGAAACCCGACACTTTTCTACTTTTCGAACAACAACTATCCCTGTCAAGATTCCTTCCTTTTAAACAAGTAACAACAAAAAGACAAGTTAAGAAGTTTTCCATGTTGTCGTGGGAAACCGTATAAATGAACATAAAAGTAAACAGAAAGAAAAGAGATTTTTTATATTTTATTAAATATCGAAATTATGAAAAATTTTCTCTGTGGAAGCTTTATTATTATCTTCTTTTTCGATTTTTTTGTTTATTTATATATTCCATTTTTTGTTTGTTTTATTTTTTTTAATCTTCATCTTGCAAAGAGCATCATGAATGAATGTTTTGTTTGTGTTTTATTTTTACTTTGTTTTTCCTTTTTCTTTTCCTTCAATTTTTTTTTTGTTTGTGTGACAAATTGTTTAATGAAGCTTACAGAGAATTAAATTTTTATGAAGAAACAAAAAAAAAAAAAAATAAGAGAAAGAAAAACTGTAATAGATACGTTGAAGAATCGATAGAAGTTGTCAAAATTTTTTTGTATGTAGAATGTCGTAAATGTTTAATTTAGACATTTTCCTTAAATTTAAGTGATTTTTGATTATAAGTTTATAATTTTATTGAAAATAAAAAAACAAAATAATACAGAAAAAAATATATAAAAAATAAAAACACTTTTGACTTTTTCTTCCTCATAATTTCTTACTAATTTTCAGCAGAGTATATTAACAACAAAAACAATATACGTTTATCCCATGAATCAGCTAACAGTGTGGATGTTTAATTTGGAAACCCTTCCCAAATTCCTACATACTCAATATAACAGATTACTACGAACAAACAACAAACATTAGGAATTTTAAGGACTCATAAGACATATAATTAAAAAAAATTGATGATCCAATTAAAAGCTATTTGCATTGCGTAAACACATATTTAGAGTAAAACCAGAATAAAGGATAAACCATAAAAATTAACTATAACCAACGTCCAGGCGTAAAAGAAGCATGCAAAAATATTTAGTTATTTTGTTTTCCTTCTTTGCTGTTAAAACTGATTATGAAGAGGAAATATTAAAAGTAACTTCTAAGCATTTGAAAAAAGACCACGACGACATTAAATCCTTTTTCAATCTTTAGTACAGTTTATCCTTGAATTTATTTTTAAAGAAGTAAAATTTATATAATTATAAAAATACATTGCGAATGCAACCATAAAGCTGGTTGTCGATTGCAATAGAACAATTGAGCAAATTTCAATGGCATATTATTTAAACCCCTGTCCAATAATCTGTGTTTGTTCAGTTGTCAGGTTTTCGAGAAAAATAAAAAAGTAAAATATTTTTACCCCAACTAAATTTAATAACCATAAAAAATTCTGAGAAAATTTAGGACTTTTGCTCTAATAGCCTTGAAAAATATTCGTAGAAGTCCAAAATTATTTCTCCTGTAAATAATGAAAAAAATGCCGATTTTTTTTATATACTTTGAGAAAAACCTCAAATGTTTTTGATAGTCCCCGAAAAAAGGTTTAACAATTGTATAACTTGGAAAAAATCAAAGTTAAAATTTTTGTGTAATCTTCCTTGTCAAATTTCAGTGCATATAAAAGGTTCTCATATCTGATTTCTGTGCATACACACATAAGCATAAATGTTGACAATGATATGTTGTCAAATGAATAATATTGAAAAAAAAAAAAAAAAAATGTAAACATATGAATGCATGACATTGCCTTCTTAATTCTACCATGGGAAAAATCATAAAAGGACCATAAAATAGTTCATGAATATTATTGCTAAAAAACCTTTATTATATCTCGAAAGTCCAAAAAAAATCCGCGATTATAGCTGTAATACTTCTTAAATATTAAAGGAAAATGCCGCGAGTATTGTTTGAATATCTTTACGACTTACCAGCCATAAAAACCATAAATGGTTATTGTTTGTCATTCCTGAAATAATACAGGGTGAGATGAAAAAACTGCAACCAACTTAAGACTGCTGTCATTTCTAAGCCACTCGTCCGACAGCTGTTATTATTCCAGTGACAGCTCATTATATTTTTTACACGCGTACAAAAGCATTTTGGTGAGAATTTTCCAGAAAATAAGTTATTCGTGATGGAATTCAAGCGTGATAGTGTGATTTCTTTATATTTGACTGAAAAACCACATGTGGCTATCGTTAGAGCACTCCAGACAACACAAGAAGACAACAACATCAGCAGAAATGGTTCGAAAAGCAAAGAAGCGCCTTGATCCAAACCCCCTGTCGCAGTGGCCGTGAGCTGAACATATCGCAATATACCATTCGGCAACTATTGAAAAATCAGCTCGGGGTAAAGCCATTGAAATCCCAAAAGGTACAAGAACTTAAACTGCAACAGAAAGAAAATAGACTCAGAAGCGCTAAAGAGTTGCTTCCATTGGCCAAAAGTGGTGAACTGCTGAATTTGGTTTTCTCCGAGACATGAGAAAACATTCGTTGTTCAGCAGTTTGCAAACAGATAATATTATCGTGTTAACTTTCCAAAGAGGTCAGCTGAAAATGTGCACCTTCGATTGGCCACCAGAACTCAAGCGCCGTCCATGGTGATGGTGTGGGCGACCATAACAGCGGATGGTCGCTCTCCGCTCGTATCAATCGACCGTGGCATCAGAATAAATGCCGAATATTATCGCGAAAATATTCTGGAGGGTGTATTAAAGCCTTGGGAACGCAAACATTTTGGCCGCAGTGGCCGAAAGTAGAATGGTTACAAAATTAAGTTCCTAACTTCATTTCCAGCGCACAATGGTCATCAAATCTCCGGATACCAATCTGTTGGACTATTGTGTGTGGAGTATTTTGAAAAGGAAGGTTGGCACTAAAGGTACCAAAGTGTCGATCATCTCAAGCAAGCGCTTGGGAATGGACCGAATACCGCAGAGCAACATTCGGGCAGCGTAATAGTTTCATTGTTTCCATAATTCGTGTCAAAGGTGACGAATTTGGTCAAATCTAAACTTATTCTAAAATTTGATGCCATTTCCGAAATTTTTTGCTTTCATTCAATAAAATTAAAAAAAAAAAATGTAAAAATTATGTCGTTTGACTTTGTTGCAGTTTTTTTATCTCACTCTGTATATCAAATTAAATTTTGTTTCGAATTCTGTTACACCATCCAAATTTCATTGTAATCGGGGATAAATAGCATGATGTGTGCATCAAATACATGAAATTATCCGAAAATACATATTAAAATCTGAATTGCTTTTAATATAATTTGAAAAGTTTATTGTTGTACCAAATTCCGTTACACACTCTACATTTCATTGAAATTGGATATATATAGCGTGTTTGGTGCATTAAATACATGAAATAGGTCGGAATTGTATATGGGAGCGATTTCAATATAATTTGACAAATTTATTTTTGTACTAAATTCCGCCACTCACTTCGAATTTCGTTGGAATCAGCCATACATATCGTGTTTGGTGCATCAAATATATTAAACCGACCGCAAATATATATGGGAGCTGTATCAAAATCTGTACCGATTTCAATAAAATTTGGCAAATTTAGTTTTGTAGCAATTTCCGTTGTACATTCCAAATTAGGGACTGTATCTATTACCGATCAATAGATATGTGCCTATAAAACTTTTATTATACCCTACACCACAAAGTCCGTCCGTCCGTCTGTCCATGTATTTTTGTAAACAAAGTACAGTTGGCATTTATTGTCCTATGCAGATGAAATTTTGCACAAATCATTAGTTTGGCCCAAGGACGAACCCTACTGAAAGTGGAGATAATCGGTCAAAATTTAGATATAGCTCCCATATATATCTTCGTCCGATTTGTTTTTTATTGTGCACCAAACGTGTAATATCAGCCCGAATAGTATGGAATTTTGCACATACAACCATATTAGGCCTGGAAATAAGTATGCCAAATTTTATCGAAATCGGTTCAGATATAGCTATAGCTCCCATATATACTGTTTACCCGATTTGTTATTTTTGTCCTCCGCAGCCGTAATATGCACTCTGTAACAACAATATTTGGGGAAATATATCAAATACAACTCAGAAATACATTTGCTAAATTTTATCGAGATCGGTTCAGATTTGGATATGGCTCCCATATATAACTTCGTCCGATTTACTTTTTATTGTGCACCAAACGTCTAATATTTGCCCAAATTAGATGGAATTTGCTACTTACGACCGAATTGAGTCTAGAAGCTAGTATGTAAAATTTGGTGAAGATCGGTTTTGATATAGCTATAGCTCCCATATATACTGTTCATCCGATTTGTTATTTTTGTCCTCCGCAGCCGTAATATGCACTCCGTAACAACAATATTTTGGGAAATATATCATATACAGCTCAGAAATATTTTTGCCAAATTTTATAGAGATCGGTTCCGATTCGGATATAGCTCCCATATATATCTTTATCCGATTTCAAGTTAATTGTGCACCAAATGGGTAATACAGGTCCGAATTTAAAAGATACAAATGCTTCGGCATATTCAGTCCTTTGAACTTTAAATTATAATCAGAGCGTGTATGAACTTTTAATTGTTATGCGGAGCTCTACTAAAATAGCAAAGTGGTGTAGGGTATCATAAAGTCGGCCCCGCCCGACTTTAAGACTTTCTTTACTGTTTTTTTTTTTTTGAGGTACCTCCGATTCTGATGCTATATCCTTAGTTCCAAGTGGAATTTCGAAAATGTATATAGCCAAGTATTACTCCCAGGCAATGCTGTAGTATATTAGGAAATTTTCAGCAAACTCTGTTTTGCAGTTTTAGAGTCTATAAATTACAAACAAACAAGAAATCAAATGTATAAACATTTTCAATTTCGAGCAAAATTTAAACCCACTCCCAGACTACTACAGATCCCATAACATTATGTAATGGAAAACTAGTAAACGTGTACCAACTACATGACAATCGTGGTCGTTGGAAAATATTTTTTTTTTCTATATGGTGTATGTTGTCAAATAGTCGGCCTCTTCGAATTTGATCTTTGCCTTACTCGTGTTCTTCTTGATTTCCTCATTATGCTAATTTTTTGTATTTCAGATTTAAAAAAAAACATCTCATTTAATCATATTTTTCTCCAGGAGAAAAATGAGAACAAAAGAATAATACGGTTTATCTCATTACAAATATTTACGCTTGATGCATTTTTCAAAGGGGATTAAGAATTTATGCTGTCAGCGTTTAAGTTCTTCTTTAAAGCTTATCCCCTAGATGGTCATTTCTATTTTATTTTAATTCTGCCCTGGCAGAGGCAATTAAATCGTTTTCTTCTTGTCTTTCTGATTTAACCATGTACTCGTAGCAGCATTCTTCCTGACATCCGTTAGCTGTGATACAGTTGCAGCAGCATTGGCTTGTATTGTTAAAGATTATGTTGATTTTGTTTCTGTTATTGTTTTAAATGGACAAGCAGTGGTTAAAGCTACGTACACTGGAAAATCCTTTGTCCGACATTAAGACACTTTCGACCATCCTTTGGTTGGATATTGAGATGTGTGTGTGTGTTCGTTCATGTTTTGTTATCTGGCTTGTGTTTCTTTAACAATTGATTGTGTGTGTTGTTTTTTCTCAGTTGCACTGATGATTATTTTCTGATTTGTCCAATTGCAATTGTTATTTTTACAAGTGTGTATAG